CACATTGTGCAGTTCTTGGGAGATTTTTGCGGCAACTTGATCCAGCAGACAGCTGATAGTTGGCGATGGTATCTAAAGGTGCCTATGCAAACAAACAGCTTATCTTGAGAATCCATCACCATCAGAGCACTTGTTTCACTGTTTCCACTAATAGTTCACATGCGTAGACATTTAATACACAAAATCGAAACACTTTTACATATCAAAGTCCACTTCAAACCATTATTTAAACAATAATACAGGAGCAGCAAACCGCCGCCGGTCAATTTCCCGCCAAAACTCCTCTGATACCTATTCTGTAGTTGACTGTGTTGCTGTGTTGCATCTCCAGTATTATATATTAGTCTATGGTGTTGTGCTGTGTTGCTTATGTGTTTCTATATTACTCTACTCTATGGTTTCTATATAGTTTGTGCTAGGCATGGGTAATATCACTTTTACCCTATATCAAATTGTACCTATGTATTGGATATGAAAATCCGATTTTGTATCTATATATTTCAATATCTATATATTTGTTAATATCTTCGTTCTGAAAAGAAGTCAGTACTCAATATCACATTTGTGATACGCGATTTATGAACACCATATATTGATTTATAGATATATTGTATTATTTATGTAATATAAGTAATCTTAATGTATCTCATAATATAAAAAGTAGGATTTATCCTGCGAGATAATGAAATAGAATTTTAAATTTAATCGTGTCGTGTTTATGCCATCTAGCGTATAATGTACGTACCACCTTGAGCGTTAATCAATTTTTGTTCGATAAAATCACTTTACGTATAGAATCTAGAAGGTGGCGCTTTTACAAAGTATTTTTTACTCCTTTCCTCTAAAGAATAATATTTAAAAAATATTTAATATTATTTTAATTTATTACACTTAACTTTAGGTGCTCCATGTTCAAAAATAAGGATTGCAACATTTATTTGCTATAAAATTAAACCTTTATATTTTATGCCACACTTGTGGTTATATTATACCCCTATACGAAAGGAAATTATCCCATATCTAGAAAGCGGGTATAGTTTTTCAGAATCGGTGAAATAAACTTTCCTTCATAATTTTCTCAGTTTTAATTTACACACCAAAAATAACATTCTATTAAATACACAATAAGATCTAAAACAGTGCAACACAATAAAGTAATAATAAAATTATACTACTTAGACTGGATACTGAAAATTAAGTGTTCTGTAATAAATCGTATTTTACTACTAATAAGGATTAATATTAAAAATATTAAGCGTAAGCGTATCACCTTTTCGTTGTAAAGTAGTCGTAATATCTGTTTTAGCTATATATTCTATAGCGCTCAAGGTTTGTTCGGTATCCGAATCATTGTATATATTTAGATATTTTACGTTTCGGTTTTGAGTAGATATTAGATATTCTGCGATGACTCATATCAACACCGTATCGTAAAATCGTAATATCTAATACATAGTTAGTTTGTCGTCGAATATATAGATGTTGGATATTGTACTGATATATAGATATTGTATCTATATACGATTTGTATCGCCCACTCCTAGTTTGTGCTTAATAGAGTAAAGACGCGTTTTTAAAATGGACAACGCGTAGTGTTTCTATATAGTTTGTGAAATGGACTCCATTTTAAAAACGCGTCTTCACTCTGTACATTTCTTCGAATATCTCCATTTAATGGAGATATATCTTTTAGAAAATTCATGCCGCAATTTAATTCGTCGACGTCATCGTCAGCGAAGTTCTTCGAATATTTTAGAATGTGTTTTGGCACATTTCAATATATTTTAAATTCAATTGAACCACTAATAACAAAGCAGAATACAAACTATAGGGTATGTACCTATATCACCGACCGATTGATGTAATTTTATAGATTTATTGTATAGTTAAGTAGGTACTTAATTCTTGTGACACAGTTATTAACATCTTACTTTTTCATTTCAGGTACCTTGCAACTGGACATTCTTTTCGATCTTTAGCATTTAAGTTTAGAGTGTCAAATAGTGCCGTTGGAATAATTCTCAGAGAGACTTGCAAGGCTATATTTGATAGTGTAGTATCACATCATATGCCTTTGCCAACCGATGATCCATTGATAGAATCAGGCGTTACTTTGCAGAAATCCATTATAATGGGGTTGTTATAAACTAATTTGCTTAATTCCGCGTAAAGAAAGAAAATGATGTGCCCTGCCCAGTTTTAAGGGGGACTTCCCACCCTCCCTCTTTCTTTACGCGGAATTAAGTAAATTAATTTATAACAACCCCAACCGATGATCCAGCAAAATGCTGAATAATATTGGTCAAAGTGGGGATTTATTAATTGTATTGGTTCCGTGGACACTAAACATATTCGAATTAAATGCCCTTCTAATTCTGGTAGTATGTACTATTATTACAAGAACTTTTTTCCTTTGTTTTACAAGCGGTTGCAAGCCCAGATTACAAAGTTTTATTTATTGAAGTAGGAGCTTATGTACAACAAAGTGATGGTGGTGTGTTATCGTTAGTTTGATAATGGGTATTTAAATTTTTCTAAATGTTTACCAAATACAAATACTTTGTTGTCCTTGGCAACACCGTCTTAGGCCATACCGGGGCCCTTGGGCACATAAGAATTTGGGGCCCTGTTGGAAGGTAAAAAAACTGAATGACAAAAACGTTTTTCTGCTATATGATCTTATATCTATTATAATTAATTGGTATTAATTACTTTAGTATGTTGGTGTTTAGACTTAGTTTAGTGCATTGTATAGACACTGCAAACTCGAATTTGCAATGTAGGTGCTTCTTAGATATTTTTTATAATTATTAAAATGTTCACTGTTTAGTAAAAGATTAAAAAAACTGTTCTGGTGACCGATTAAAATTCGCTAAGCTACTATCTATATTCATGTCTTTTCGTATTATCAATTTAACCAACAACATTTATTTAGCTGTAATTATATAAATACATAGATTGCCGGAAATAAAAAAAAATCCAGGCTATGAGTGAGGCGATTGTACAGCTAGAAAAAAAAAACGTTTAGATGGCGGCGAAACGTGGAACTACATATTTTCTACCTAAGAAATCTGTCAATGCCACTTTTTTGTCAAACTCGGCAATGTGTGGCTTGTCACTGCTCAAGGTTTCCAGAAAGTCACTAACAACGCCCTCGTGTACTCTATAAATATTTATGTGTCGGGTTATATTTTCCTAAAATAGAAAAAAGATTGTATATTGTGAGTGAATATATCGGCCTTTCGGGGGCCCCGTGACGTGGGGGCCCTGGGCACGTGCCCCGTGTGCCCTTATGGTAAAGACGGTACTGGCCCTGGTATTACTAGCAGATAAAGCCTATCCTCTAAAAAGGTATATTATGAGGCCATATCCAAGACGTAACCTAACCTGAGAGAGCAGGAAACAATGTATAACGAACGTTTATCAAATACCCAATTAGTAATTGAATGCGCTTTTGGTATAATTACACAAAAATGGAGAATTTTGACCAAATGTATAGAAACAACAACAGAAAATGCTGAAACTATTGTAAAGGTGTATTTGTTTACTACACAACATTGTTATAGCCAAAGAAGGACAACCAAAGCACAATCATTTGACAGATCAAAGAAAAAATTTAGGTCAAAGAAATGAATAACTTTGCTTCTAGAAAGCAAAACAGAAGTAATAAATGCAATGTAGACACCGGTAGTAAATGGCGAGAAATCCCAATAAGTTCGGACTCGACGGTTGATGGGTCGTTTTCATGCGTTATCGGACGATGACGGTCGTGTTTGTGTACGCGCTTTCTTTCTTTTGCAAGTGCTTGATTCGATTGTCCAAGTTCAGTCGTCGTAGTCGAGTAAACTTCGGCCGGTGACGGATTAGGTGTACGCGAAGGGTTATAGTGATTATCACAGGCACAGACACTTACCTCTGTATATGGACTGCCTATATACATACAAAAAATTAAAAATATATATAGTAAATATACATATTGAGGCGATTTGATTTTTGGCGCTGACAGCAGAAGTGAGCGTCCATGGAACTAATATTAGACAAAAATTCTATAAAAATTCTATACCCAGGCCTACCCATTCTTTTTATGTATAAATATTGCAAATGACTCTGCGTTGGTCTATCTACGTTTTTATTCGTAACTACAGAACGGATTTTGCTCCTGGTTTTAACATTGGGCATGTTGGTTCAATCGCAAGGCTTAAATATTCAGTTAGTACTGGAAAATATTTAACTGGTGTAAGGAACAAAATAAAAATAATAACATAATTTCACAATGAATTTATTGTCAACCTCTAGTATTAGATAGCAAACAAATCAGCTGCTAAAATATCCCCTATTCTAATTATTTACAGGTACTTTCGATGTCATTTAAATCAACAAGAAAGTTATGATAGACTTCGATTGGCCTTTCACAATGAAACCCCATTTCGTACCACTGTTTACAACTGGTTTAATGAGTTTAGAGGTGGTCGCACTAATCTCACCGATGATCTGCGTGAGGGACGGCCTTCTACGGCGACGACTGAAGATAATATTACAAGCTTGGGGTTTGAGACCATTAAAAACTGCCGATTGAATTACCAAAATTGACACTTTAATTACAGAACACTAACTAAAATTTAAAACCACTCTAATAATAAAACACAATTGTACTACTGATCACTTTAGTTCGCAGTTATTTCGCTTCGAAGTATTCGCTTGTATCGCCAATTCAATACCGACTCGGTCGTGGTCTAAACCGGCCTTATATAGGGCCTCAGATAGTTTCCAAAACCTTCTACTGTAGAAACATCTAGAATGTTGGAGTACATATCGGTCCCGAAATTTCTAGAAGGATCTTGACTCTCCTAGTTCTGCTACTCGCTAGTGGTAACTAGTGTTGCCATGTACAAGACATTAATAGTGGCGCACAACACTCCCCTAAGGCATGCTCGTCCCGAGCATTATTGGCCCCATAATGACGCGCCAGTCGATCCATATAGACGATATTAGGAGTACCTCTAGCACCTTTCTGTATTCGATAGTATTACGTCATTGATCCTTGTTACATTCCGGTACGGTCCGTTCCATTTAGCTTGAAGCTTAGGAGATTTACCTTTGCTATGAACTGGATTGTGTAACCACACTAGTGAATCTTCGTCAAACCCTATGTTGTTCATTTTGCGGTCATACCGTGTTTTTACCTTCTCAGACGTTTGCTGCCCCGACTGTCTGACGTGCTCATAAATGTCATTCATTTTGTTCCGCAAGTCATTTGCATAATCGGTTATACTGCGTAGGACATCAGGTGGTATTCCGGTGATCAGGTCTGCAGGCAGCCGTAATTCTCTCCAAAAGTTTGTGAAAGCTGGTGTCACTGATGTACTGTCGTGAACAGCGCTTCGATATGACAATAAAAACGGTTGTTTTTTTATGTGCCTGTCCCATTCTCTTTGCCGTTTTTCCACAACTTTTGCTAGGTACTTCTCCAGTGTCTGATTAAATAGTTCTACCATTCCATCAGATTGTGGGTTTTTTTTATAGTAGAGGGGGCAAACGAGCATGCCGCTTACCTGATGGTAAGTGACTACCGCCTCCCATGAACAACTGCAACACCAGGGGAATCGCAGATGCGTTGCCGGCCTTTTAAAAAGGAGTAGGCTCTTTTCTTGAAGGTCCCTAAGTCGTATCGGTCCGGAAAAATCGCTTGTGGTAATCGATTCCACAAGCAAGTTGTGCGAGGGAGAAAAGTTCTTCTGAATCGCACAGTGGTGGACCGCCAATCATCCTGATGATATGGATGGTATCGCGAGTTTTGTCGCGATGTGCGATGGTGAAATTGAGCGGCTGGAATTAGTCCGAACAATTCCTCAGAGCACTCCCCGATAAAATACGCAAAGAGATGCAACATCTCTACGCAGTGCCAGTGAGTCAAGCCGATCGGAAAGAACTCGGTCGTCGACGATTCGAACCGCTCTGCGCTGGATGCGGTCAAGTGGAAGGAGCTGCCACTGGGGAGCCCCTGCCCAGAGATGGGAACAGTATTCCATGTGAGGCCGAACCTGCGCCTTGTAAAGTTGCAAGCGGTATGCCCGCATGAAATACTGTCCCGCTCTGCTGAGCACGCCAGGTTTTTAGAGGCCAATTTGGCCTTCTCTTCCAAATGACCACGAAACTGCACGTCACTCGATATGTCGACACCGAGAATACTGGCTGAGGCAACAAGGGGAGTGCCTTGAAACTGAGGAGATACGACAAAGGGATTCTTTTTAGTGATAAACGCGCAAACTTATGTCTTCTGGGGATGGAACTGGACTAGATTTAGTCACCCCCAGTCAGAGACTTTGTTCAACAAAGTCTCGACTTCAGACACAAGTTTGTTCCGGTACTCGGCGACGTTTTCCCGAGAAATATGGGCACGGCCGGTGTATAGAGCATCACCAGTGCTGTCGTCCGCATAGCAATGAATGTTACTGATTTGCAACATATCATTGATATGCAGAAGAAACAGCGTTGGTGATAGCACGCAGCCTTGTGGAACACCAGCGTTAAAGGGCTTGTAATCGGAGCACGCACCGTCTATTACGACCTTGTTGCTCCGATCTGCAAGAAAACTGGTGATCCAATTGCACAATTTCTCGGGAAGCCCATAGAAAGGCAACTTCGAAAGAAGCGCTTTGTGCCAAACCCGATCGAATGCCTTCGCTATGTTCAAACTAACGGCCAACCCCACTTCTGCCTCCACTGCCTCCGCCCATCTATGAGTCAGGTAGACCAGAAGATCACCAGCTGAGCGACCTAGACGGAAATCGTACTGGCGGTCACTAATCAGCTGATGATACTCAAGGTACCGCATGAGCTGGCTGTTAATAATCGTTTCCATTACTTTGGAGAACAAGGAGGTGATAGCGATAGGCCTGTAGTTGGACGGATCTGAGCGGTCGCCTTTTTTAGGGATCGGGTACACCAAAGCTGTCTTCCATGTGGTAAGAAGTTGTTTTGTTTTATGAGTACCCATAACTCGGCAAGTTTCCTGGAATATTTGAAACTCAAAATTCCTTCCTTGATCGCTGTGAATCTCTACAGGTACTCCAAAAGGACAGAAGACATATCAATACATATCTCGTGTGACTGCCTTTGAAGACACTTGTGTACAACTTTTGTGCGTTAATTAGTTTCTAATGTGCGTGCTATAATCACCCTACCTGTAATAACGATTACTGCTAATGTTGTGTGCGTAAAGTGCAGTGCAATTTCAAATATATTTTTTTCACCGCTGTTTCGGTCTCGTTCACGCTCCGCTGCTCGTGGTCATAACTGAGGGGCGCCTCACCCCCGCTTGAAGAGTCGGATTGCTAGTTTTCGTCCCGTCTCCACTCATCGTGTGACTTGTTGTCGTCGTAAACAATGAACAATTCGCAACGCGCATCTCCGATCAAAGTCTCCTCGAACCCCGATTTATCTAATATGTCGGTAGATATGGAATCCTACGTTAACTCGCGCAAAAGGAAACAAATTGAATGCGGTGACCATGGAATGCTTGCAATATTTGAGCAAAGGATGGAACAGCAAATGAAACTTTTTAATGATAGCATAACTAATTGTATCACTACCGCTGTCAACTCTGCAATTACCGAACAACTATCACATGTTACTTCGAACTTGTGTGAAATAAATTTAATCTTACAAAAACTTACTGAAGACAACTCAAAAATTAATAAATCACTCTCGGAAACCAGTGCACGTCTATCCGAAATGGAAATATCTATCGGTACATCTATACAAAGGCAGGATTTATTTGAGAGTAGATTGCAAGCATGTGAGAGTGTCAATTCTCAATCTACAGAACTGTCCACACAAGTTCGATCCCTTGAGATTAAAATGGACGAAGTTGAACAACAAGCTAGACTAAACAACCTTGAGATTACTGGAATCCCTGAAAAAACACGAGAGGATTTGTCATTTTATTTCCGTAATATAACTAATTTCTTGGGAATCGAACTATCAGCAAATGACGTAATTCACATAACGAGGATTCGTCCGTTTAAGGTGGTTTCCGGTCGTCCCAAGGCAATCGTAGTGAAGCTGAGATCCCGTATGCTGCGCGATTCTATCCTTGCAGCGGTGCGTGCTAAGAAAGGACTTAGACTCTGCGACATCGGCTTTCCTGATGAGGGGTCCAAAATATATGTTAATGAACACTTAACACCGTCTAACAAACTACTTCTTAAAAATACTAAATTAAAAATGAAGTCTGCCCTATACCAATATTTGTGGGTTCGTGATGGAAAAATCTTCGTTAGAAAAAACGATACCACTCACGCTTTACGTATTAAAGACAGGTCGGATGTTTTAAAAATTGTTTGACTATTTGTAAGTTTTGATCTTATCTTAGTTTGCATCTACCAGTACTTAGTAAGTGAACACACTGTGTTGTGCACAAAGTTAGGCTATAATTATCTAGGTAAGCATTATTATTTATCTGTTAACACTGATATTAATATCGTAATGTATTTATGTATAACAATAAGATCATGTTTTTATTTATACGTATTATTATATAAAGTATTTTATATTTATGTAATGCACTTACAATATTTATATAAAACACATAACACATGTTTCATAACTTTATTGTGTATATTGTTGCCTACTTATAAGAGTATATACAACCTAATTCGTGAAACTATTTCAACTATTATAATTTACCGCATCGTAGTAATCATATCGTCACTGTCGTCATATTATGTGTCTGTCTATGTCCATGATTTGTCCGTCTTTAAGGTAATACACTACTATAACTGTTATGAGGCTGTTAGTTGCTTATGCTGTACACAAAAACGTACTTTTAAGTTTGTTTTTACTGGTCACTATTTTTATTCATTGTTTGCACCGTGTTGGTTGCACGGGAAGTTATTAAAAAAACTTTGTAGATTCATATTCATTCCTTAATTATGTCTTTAGATAGAAAATTAAATATATTTTATCAGAACGTACGTGGTCTCCGTACTAAATGCCTTGACTTATATAATAATATACTATCGTGCAACTACAACGTTATACTCCTTACAGAAACTTGGTTGCAAGATGATATATTTGATAACGAATTATGTGATGGCAGGTTTGATGTATTCCGTTGCGATATAGACTTGGTGGCTACGAATAAGAGTTCGGGTGGAGGTGTAATGATTTGTACCCGTCGTGAGCTAGGTGCGACTAAGCGTGTAGACTGGGGTTGTAAATATTTCGAATCTATATGTGTCAGCTTGCCAGCCCGATTACTCGGCTCACAATACAACCTAAATATTATACTAGTTTACATACCACCAGATGAAGTTAAATTAGCTGAGTATATTAATGAATTTAGAATCAGTTTTGAGCGTTTTTATCATACGTCACAATCGGACTTCTTTATGATTATTGGTGATTTTAATTTGCCTTGTTTAACATGGAACACTTATGGTTGGTCTTTGATACCGATAGGCAAATCTGAGGTTCAATTAGCTGCTAATACCTAGGCTGAGGATCTGAGCTTTTTAGGTATGAGTCAATTTAATTTTATTCAAAATCGTTGTAATAATGTCCTCGACTTGTGTTTTTCAAACTTATATTTAGAAATAAAAAAATCGGATCCTATTTCCAGATTAGATGATTTTCATCCTCCATTCACGGTTGATGTCACTGATCTTTCCATCAAACCTTTAAAAGAGAAATTTCAACCGAAGTATAATTTCCGGAAATGTAATTACACAATCATCAATGAATTATTGAATAATGTTGATTGGAATGAGTTGCTGTTGAATACTGCGTCAGTAGATCATGCTATAGAAAATTTTTATAAAAAATTAAACGAATGCTTTGTGCTATTTGTTCCTCTTGTACCCTCTTGTAATAATTATTACCCATGTTGGTACAGCCCTGCATTTATAAAAATTTTACGGGAGAAATCTAAAGTCCATAAAAAATGGAAAAAATGGAAGAATCCTCGTGATTATGAAGAGTTTAAATTGCTTAGAGATAGACAACATCGTATACAAAAGAAATGTTTCGAGCATTTCAAGTGTAACACTGAAAAAAATTTGAAAACGTCGCCTAAATTCTTTTGGAAATATGTTAAATCAAAGAGAGGGACATCCACTTATCCTCAAAATTTCTCTTTTAACAATAAGAATTACTCTAATGGGCAGGACATTTGCTCAGCATTTAATAACTATTTCAAAAGCGTATTTACTGATTCTGTTTTACCATCAAGTGAGTTTCATAACCATTCCGATATGAGCATAGATCAGATCTCTAGCATAAATATATCCCGAGAAGCTGTTCTTAAGTATCTTAAACACTTGGATTCAAATAAAGGGGCTGGTTATGATGGAGTGCCTCCTGTGTTCTTGAAGTCCTGCGCCGATAGCTTAAGTTACCCAATTTCTTTACTTTTTAAACTTTCTCTACAAAATTCTGTTTTCCCATTGTTATGGAAAAGAGCGCATATAATTCCTATTCATAAAAAAGGCGCCAA